CATCGGCGGCTGCGGACCGTCGCCCCCGGGCGGCCACGTCTGCTCGACCTGGGTCTGTATGGGGGGCTGGTATTGCATCTGCATGTGCTCCACATCCTTGGGCGGCTCAGCCCACGGCTGCAGTTCCCCCGACGCGAAGATGGCGTAGAAGATGACGCCGCAGATGTGTATTAGGCCGGCGATTATGAACACGTCCTGCCATTCCTCAGGTGTCTGTCCCCCCACACAAAATAGGGTTGGCGTTAGATTTGATTTGTACGCGTAATTAATTAGTGCTTTTATTGTATACCTTTTCTTTGGTCATCAGATTGACCACAATTGGGCACAACATACCGGCCAGCGTACCGAAGCCGTTAGAGATGCCCATAAGTATACTGGCATACCGGGGCGCTATGTCTAAATGGTTTACATTAAAGCCTGTGAGCGGGAAATATGCAATAATTAGTAATAAGTTTGTTTAAAAACTGTCCATAAATTCAGTTAAGTTTTGCATTCAAATGTCAATCGCCTTCAAGACGTCTTACGAAACGTCGAGACAATTGACCCGAAATTTTATAGCATTTTCACGACTCAAAGCTTATAATAAAAGCCGAATCGATGTATAATTGCATTCAAATTGATTGCATAAAGTTTTTGATAGGCTTTGCCGTCGCACTGATTCACCAGTCAGTGACCAACAGACAAAACACTACCACTTTATGGTGGATCTCGTGGACATCCATTTCCTTTATAATTGCATTCAAATTGATTGCATAAAGTTTTTGATAGGCTTTGCCGTCGCACTGATTCACCAGTCAGTGACCAACAGACAAAACACTACCACTTTATGGTGGATCTCGTGGACATCCATTTCCTTTTGTGTATGTATTTGACAATAGTGTTAATTACAGAGTACAGAAAACATGAGTATCCAGCAAATATTAATCTTTAACTATAAAGAAAATTAATTTAAATTTATTGGATAAAATGGCCTTTACCGTTTTGGCGACTTAGGCTGCCGCTCGCACTCACGTTACTAGCGGTTTACTCACGACCTTCACGACGGGTGATCTTCGTCTTTGTCCCGGAGGTATGGTTTAGGCGGCGTATTGAAACACTTCCGCACATTAGTTGTCGACAATTTGCCCGATTGGCGCAAATGGTCGGCTAAATGGCCCCCAAATGGCACCACAAATGTCATACACAGGTGCGGAAGGGCTCCTAATAGTCCCGACTGTTTGAAAAATATATGAAAAATTAGTTCATTTAGTGATTTAGTAAATTGTTTAGAAAGCTAAATTAAAATGGTTGTCCCTAGCTAACATATTGATTGTGGTTATAATGATATAAATAGATATTAGTCGTACTTTTTCGACGTCAAACTTGAAGACCTCCTTGAAATACATGGGTTGGGAAATGAGGAGCAGATAGAAAGTCCAGGACCGGCAGAAATTGGCGATTATTATAGCGTAAACCGGCGGCGATTTAAATATCTCTACCCATGGAGTGGTTTGGAGCTAAAAAAGTGTTATTTAAAAAATACATATTTATTAAACAAATGAAAATCACTGGAAATTCATTACTTCTTACTGTCGGTGGCTTTTGATTCACGACTCCAATACTATTCTCAATAAAAACTAATTCCTCTCTACTTATAGTCGGATGTTTGGATGGCTTTTCAAATGACAGCCACATCCATAATGCATACCATCCCAGGCCTAAACACCCTATAAATACATCAAAATTATTTAATAAATTAGTTATAAATTCAACAGATTTTAAGTTATATTTTAAGTTAGATATTTTACCATAAAAGTAGAAACAGGTCTCCCAACCTAACCATTCGGTTAACATTCCAGACATGGGTAGACCCACTACAGCGCCGGCATACGAGCCTATTTGTCATTAGGATAGAGAAAAAACAGTTTCATTTAATGGCAATTTTTCTCTTAACATTAATTTAATAGTAATTAAGTGGTTTAATAGTGAGCTCCAGTAGTACGTGAAGGCATATCCAACTGCGAGAGAGAGACTAACTATTTATAGACATCGACTGCAAACTTATGGCACTATTAGCCAACTCTTTATCATTACTTTGAACGCTATTTACTATGAGATGAGAATTCATTAATTCAATCGTAAAGAACCGGTAGTTCTCTCTTACAATACAAATAATTGATTATTGACTCAAACGTTAATTCACGTGAATATCCCTATCAATGAACGTAGAGTTAACTATTCATTAGATGTGAACCAAAAAGCGACTTATAATTGGATTTTAAAAATGCAATTCTTGTGTAGGAGTTGAGTAAAAGTATTTCCATTATTGATACTTAAGTCTCGCTTTTTATTCGCGTTTTATTTGCAGATAATTTCATTTAAATGGCTTTTAATTAAAGAAATCTGCGTTAATCAATGTGGTGTTTCTATTCTTGGTGATTGTGTCAATGTTTATAATAAGCAACTGAGTGCATAAATTAATGTGCTAGTTTTAAATTATATTTTGTTTTGTTTAAGATATAATATCATGATACTAAAAGAATTTATCTTTATATGTTATTAATTCTGTTTATTTATTACCGGTAATTTATTTCCTAGATAATTATATAAATTATATTTAAATATTTACATTTTCTATTAGTCGTTGAAATTGAAGTCAACATACATTAGAAATTAACACAAATTATAAAATCTAAAAAATCAAACATTTCACCGGTATATGAATAATATATAACTGACTCTATAGGCTAATGTCATACTAAATCCCGGATCACTTTCAAATTCTTGATTTCGAAAGAATTATATAAACTCGCTTAATTTTTAATTTGAATTTCAATGTCATCTGTTATGTTGCCTGAACCAAAAGGTAGTGCCCATCCGACCGATACTATCGAGAATTAGTGCCCGGATTTTAATCATACACAGTGAATATTCTGGATCACTTAAAATTCAAGGCTAGCGTCTAATGTAATCGCATGAATAGCTGGGAATAAATTATTTTGTCACTTAATTCTGGTCTAGAAATCCTTTTTTAATATAAATGAAAGGAATATTCTGTAAGATTAGGCTCACAATAGAGTGAGAAAAGCGGAGATTTACATTATATAACAAATTAAGCGAAATGATGTAACATTTGTGAGATAGCAGTATTAATAGATATTATGTTACAGAATATTCTGTCATTTAATATTCATACAACTGGCGTATATTAAAGTCATTAACTTTTTTATGGTAAAAATCAATATTTATCACCCCATAGCCCCCGCAATATTTAGGTCCGGGTGCTTTCGCATTGTGCACTCATACCACCATAACATACGAGTGCAACGATACCGACACACAATGGCACTCCTATTATGACTATTATATGAGCGACAGTTTATGGTTTCTATCGATTGACCCAAATATACCATAAATGTGTTGTAAACGTCGGAAATAAACATAAGAAATAGAAAAATAAAATCAAAATAAAAGCCCAAAACAAGTGAAGAGATTTCTATAATTGAATTGAACGGCAAGAATAAAAGAGGTATTGATTTCCAATTTATGGATATATTTATACATCGAATGGAGAATTGAAACATGAAAAAACTTTCTAAATTTATACATCAAATACAACACAATATTTTACACTCATAATTCAATTGACTGTATACTGAATATGTGTATGAATGGGTAGATAATAGAAAATGGTTTCCAATGGATTCATTGACTTTTTTGTAGTTGGGGTGGACTTGTATTGTGTCAACACAAGGGCTCAAACAATAACCTAATGGACACTTCCGTATCTTTCGTGTTGAGTGAGTGAGTGAGTGAGTGAGAGAGAGAGAGAGAGAGAGAGCAAATCACTACTAAAAGAAATAAAACAAATTGAAGGCAAAGGCATCTGGAGTTCAATAAAGCATTTCATACTTTAAACGACTTATTCGTTTCGTACGTNAGAGAGAGAGAGAGAGAGAGAGAGAGAGAGAGAGAGATGGCGGAGGACAGGCATCATACATACCACAGAAAGCCAATGTCGCCAAACGGCTTCTCTCTAATGGTGGCGCCCAATGTCGCCATATTCCGTGACACGCAGGATATGTGACGCCCTGTTAGACATGGGATGAGAGGGGAAAGGGATGAGAGAATGAGAGCGAATATATAGAGTAAGAGATGCAGAGCACATGAGTTATAGTCAGAGCTATGGGTCGTAAATCAAAATTTTATTTTGCAATTTATGTTTTGTCTTATTTTTTCTTATGTTTCAATCCATTCAATGAGAAAAGCTTTTGACATTTGGAGATTAGATATGACTATGAAAAAGACCTTGCTAACTAGTAAAATTATTTTTAATTAATTTTTTCAAACGAGCTCTGTTTAAAATGTTTTATTATTTATGAGTATTGTTAATTATTTTTGCATTATTAATGAAATTTGAAATAATAATATTTAATTTTTGTTATATCATTAATTTTATATTAATTTTATTTTCACTAATAATATGATACAACTAAGCCATTATTAATTATATAAAAAATTAACCATTAATCAATAACAATATAAATAAATGTCAAAATCTAAAGTCTACGATAAAATGGTTATAAGTTATAGCTAAAATATTTCCTAACTTTCCGACATAAAAATTGCTGATTTATCTCATGTTAAACTCATTTATGAGTTGCAGTATATGTAAGTCATGCTAGAAATACATTAAGTCCTGAGTACATAAATAGATAAATATATATATATTTCTAAAATCCATTATAATTTTAGTCCATTTATATGATGTAAAACAAATAGTTTGCTGACATGCTATGGTGTTGTATAGGTTAAGCCATTTTTCTGTTTATTATACGTTATTTTGTGGTGCAAATAAGCTATACTTCATTTTGATATATAAACCCTGTTATAGTAGAACTTCATTAATAACCACAGAATTTAGCGAGGTGATATATCATAACCATTAAAATAAATAAGTAAAAAATTGCTGTCATAAACTATACCAAGTTACATATTGAATAAATAAATATTAGGTTTAATAAACGCATACCTCGACTAATCCTTGTAGGATACGAACAAACATGACCCAACCCGGGTGCATTTTGGCTGCTCCTGGTAGTAGCATATTTAGGAATGCTGACATGGCTATAGCTGTCCCAAACACCCTATCCATCAATCACACGATTAGTTGAGTATTTTCCGCTGATTTTAGGGAAATTAATAACAAGTTTTATGGCAAACCTATTGGCCGGATATCTGGCGGCGAGGAATCCGCCGGGAATTTGTGTCACTAAATAACCCCAAAAAAATGACGAGTCCACCACTCCTATTGTCTCGGGTGTCCAATCAAACTCCGGTCCCTATTTTAAATCAACAATTTAAAAACAATTTTAAATTAATATCTCATCAAATACGGCGTTTGTTATGTAACTTTATAATTAACAAATATAATTATGTTTTAATATATTGGCTCAAAAATTTAATGTCTTACATGTTACCAATTTGATAATAAAATAGTTATTTGGCGACAAATTTAATAATAAAAGATATTGAAGTAAATATATTGCTATCATATAATTAATTTGAATTAGTTACTGTAGATGTAATGCACGGATTTGAAAATTTATCACAAATTATATTTTTTCTCGTTTCTTTAAGCCTAAATATTTAATGTAATATTAATCAAAGGCATTAATGCATGCACTCTAAAACAAATAACTTAATGACATTTTGGCAAATTATTACATTTATAAGGGTATAATTTGTTAGTGTTATAATTATGATGAATTCGTCTAATATGATGGTAATCTATCATATAATAGTAATTATAATGAGATATTTTACAAGGTAATTTTGAAATATTCATCATATTATGTTATACAGTAATTGTAATTCCTAGAATTTATTACTACTATAGTATTAATAGTGTAATTACAAAAGTGCTTTTCATGACTTGAAATATTTATTAAATATAAACTAGAAATATAAAAACCAAGATGATTTATAAACTCCAAATTGAATGCAATCATTATATGGACCATCAAATAGTAAATCTCATAAGAAAAGTCATTATATTTTTGTTTCTCACTTTCATTGGATATATAAATTGATATAAGATTTATAGCACTGTATTTAATGCAATAAATTATTCCTATTGAGTAACAGTCAAAAATTGAGATTAAACTTCAAGGATATCTTATGAGACAATTGCTTTTTTGGGGCCAAAAAAATCAGTGCTAATGTATAGCAGTAATACATCCAACAGTTTTCTATTAGCTATCATATAGAGTATATAAAATACATATAAAATATAAAATACACTGGACTAAATAAAATATATTTTCAATTACACTAAAAAATTTATAATGTTATTAAAATGTACCTGTACCTATTAAAAAATAATTTAATTAAAATTTATTTGTAAATGAAAACTAAATTTTATTTTTCTTAATATTTTCTAAGAAAATAGTGTGTATTTAAACGAGTGTACACTGTATTAGGTATGGGTGCGCACCGACACCAAATAGAGAGATGATGTCTCTCTCACACTCTCTACTTTAAGCCTCAATCCATGGGTTTGTATGGATGAGTCTGAACAGTCTACTGGTGCTCACGAACACTGATTTCATTAGAATAAATGGAAAACTCAATATTGGATGCAATCGAGACTTACGAGAGTCTCCGTCAATGCCTATGGAATTGAATTTAGTGTTAAAGTAGTTTAGATGTAAAGGCTTTATATATATGGTATATAAGGCATATAAAAATCGTATGAAAAGGCTATACAATAGACAGATACTGTGTGTACGGAGAGGGAGTCAGAGGAATAGTAGGTGAGAAGGGAGAGGGGAAAGGGATCGAAAGATTGAGAGATGGGAGAGAGAGAGAGAGAGAGAGAAATGCAATTCATTTTATTCATTCAATTTCTATTGAATATATATTATTTGATCGATTCCCTCGCAAAGTATCCAATTTATGTTCAAATCTGTTTTTATGAGACCAGACCTACACTACTGGACTCATGTATTGGAGAATAGTGTATAGAATTAATACAGACTATGAGATGATTTTCATGTGAATGCATACTATTCTTAGGCTTTTATTTGTTTAATCTGTTGACACATTAATCCCATTTGTTATATATTTGTGGACATCCTCTCTATTAATACACATTTCTATTCAATTGAAATTAAATGCTTTCCCATTCATGCTATGCACAGATTTCCAAGAAATTATTTTGTATTTTATATTTTTCACGTAAATATAAAAGGGGTTTAATATAGTTATCATTTTAATCTTGCTTTAAGGCTAATGTGAAAAATAAATAGATTGCAAAATATAATATTTGCTAACTTTATTATGTGTGTTTTATAAAAAAATATCTTTTTATATAATTAGATTACATAAAACATTTATTTCAGATTTCGTACGAAAAACACAAAAATATGTTTTTCACAAACAATAAAATTATATAAATTCAGACGAAAAGCAGAATAATATTAGTGAAGAATAACAAGAATACGGTATAAATCTGTAGTTATTTTTGTATTTTGTTGTAATTGTCATAACAGACAATGTATAGCAAAGCCGTGAACGCAAAAACACTGATCTCTACAACAAAATAATATTTCGTGCATTTTATTCATTGATAACTTGTCTGTCTCTTAGGTCTCTCTCTCTCTCTCTCTCTCTCTCTCTCTCTCTCTCTCTGACTACCAGTGCGATGGGTTAGTGTGCCGTCTCTTCTCATTTAGTTAGTCATCAATAAAAGTTAGAATAGTATGCATTCACATGAAAATCATCTCATAGTCTGTGTTCTCTCTCTCTCTCTCTCTCTGACTACCAGTGCGATGGGTTAGTGTGCCGTCTCTTCTCATTTAGTTAGTCATCAATAAAAGTTAGAAATAGAGGCTTAACTGTTGGCAAAAGCAAAACATACACTCTTTTATCCAAACACATAGATATAGAGGACATGTATTTTCCATTAGAGTGCAGTCTCTTATATTTCATCACTAAAAGCAGTTCACGATAACACTATTTTAACTTAAATTCTGACATTTATTTAAAATAATATATAAAATATAATGAAAGAAAACTATAGAAATTATAAACTACATTATGGGATTTATTAATTATGATAATAACCACAATAAAAGGATAAAAATGATCAGTATTTTGATTTTCTTTAATTTATCAGAAGATTAGGCATAAAATCATATTAAATAATAAATTTTGGTTTTAATATGAATAATATATTTTCTAAAACATTATACTTTAAGTATAGAAATATGTAATGCATTAGTAATGCATTGCATTAACATATTATGCTTTTATGAAGAGAGAGAGAGAGAGAGAGAGAGAGAGAGAGAATTAGTTTGATTCCATCAAACAAACACTCAATTTCTCAGTTGTATCTCACGTTTAAAAATATTTACTTGAAATCAAATATCGTATTACTGTTAGTCCTTCAGTAGTCTCATGTGATACGAGAAGAAACACAAATTTTCATTACTTTCAGTTCACCGGGTATTACAAAACATTTTCTATAGAAGTGTGGAACAAATGTAGATTATGTGAAATTAAATGATATATTAATATTATGATCAAAATATACAATAAATGTATTATCATCTTATTAAATTCAAACTGATAATATTGTAATAAAATAGAGGTTATTAAAATAAAAAATTCATTATTAATTATTTGCAAATTTATTATTTATTAAAATAATATGTAGTTTTATTTGTTGTAAACAAATATTTCTAGTATTCAATGGAAATATATCAATTTATATTAAGATTATTTTTATTAAACAAATTAAACAAAAATCACCTTTTTAAAATGATTGTTTTAACAAATACTTTTTAACATTAAAGTCTCACAATAAAATACTTTTTACTCAAGAATTATCTAATTAGTAATAATAATAAATATCTTATTATAAAAAATACATGTTTATATTGTTTAATTAAATGGACTAATTATGAAATGATCTATGTTTGCAGTAAGCTTGGTGAGTCAAAAGACAAGCAGTTTGCCACAACGGATGCCCTCACCAACGAGTACTACAACGACCACAAGATGTTTAAAGGGAAGGGCGAGAAGTGGGAGAAGTTTATGGAACCTAACTGTCCCTGCTTTCCAAATATGACAAAACGCTACACAATAGCCTTTCTCAGTTCACTCGGTTTCTTAATAAGTTTCGGCATTCGCTGTAATATGGGTGTAGCCATCGTGCAAATGATCAGCAACACCACCGGAGGGGTATTATATGTCATCTTAATTGCACATCACATACCATATTCATTATCGTGTAGTTTGCATGTATCAATTATCAATATTTTTAAATAGTAAACTAATTTTAAAAGTATTTTTAACATTTTTGACAAATAACTTGTAAGAGGAATATTCTGTAAATGTGTTCATAATATATAGTGTAGTCATATGTTCAGAATATACTGTAAAGAAATGCCATTAATATGTCATGAATTGAATGCCTTCGGGAAAACCTTTGATATAAATAAATTAATAGAGATTTTCCCTACTTTTTCATTTGACTCTCTCTCTCTCTCTCTCTCTCTCTGACTACCAGTGCGATGGGTTAGTGTGCCGTCTCTTCTCATTTAGTTAGTCATCAATAAAAGTTAGAAATAGA